GTTCTCACCCACGAAAGCTTATGCTCCCAGTACTTCTGTTAGTCTCAAAGGTGCCACAGGACCCTCTGTTGCTTTTTACAGATTCAGACTAACACGGCTACCCCTCTGATATTTTATGGAGACATCGAAATAGATTTTGGATACGTCTTGCCCACATGAATGCATATGGATGCTTGTTGTTGACACTTTCTGACAAATCTAGAGCAGATGGTAGTGGTTGAGAGCCACGAAGAAGCACTAATTACATCAGGTGTCTCAGACCACAGCAGTTGACCGTCCTCGTTAGCAGCATTGTGTTTCAAGCACCACAGAAAAGGAAATGGGATAGAACCTTACATGCTAGTTTATGTGCGGTGCACAGCAGTGGAATTCAGAATGGGGGCTGCATCTCAGCTGCAATATGCCTCGTTCTGCCCACAATGACACAGCGCAGCTCAGTTCTTGAAACATATTGCATCAAGGTGACAATATTGGAGCAGTTAATACACAGATCCTTGAAAAGGCACTTCACAGGCGGCACGCCAGAACTTCCTACTGAAGTTCACAGGGCTGCACAAGCTGTAGGCCAGACAGCATGGCCTGTTATGCTTGTGTGTAGCGCTAAAACAGTTGATTATAATGCAATGAGTGATTTCAAAAGCCCCACAAGATGGCACCAGTCTTTGGAAAGGGTTAAAGGACAGCCATTGTTTTACTTATTAAAAAAATCAGTCACTCCCATGTAGGAATCTATAGGCATTTTACTGGCAGACGTATTAACGGGAGGTTTGTTTGTATTGCAAGGGATAACTGACAAGTCCTTACCCTATAGTGGTTCTGTCAGGCAGTGCTTTATAAACTCAACGTCAAAATACTGTTTTGTAGACCGTGTAACAAGGTGCTCATAAGGCCCCTGTGTTCCGAGCCTCTCTCCACGTTACAACATCATTCCTTACTGCTCTGCATGCCACTGACAGAGAACTCGAAGATCAAAGGCCATGTTCAGCAAGCAGAACGGCCTATTGACAGACTTCACCTCTTCCTAACCCTGAACAGAGAAAATGATCCCATTTCTCCTGCCTAGACAAGCACCACAGTGTAGTAGC